ACACTATACCTATATATCTCCAAGGTCTACTGACCTTCTAGAGTGATTTTTCTTTGTGGATCAGCATGTTGATAGCAGAGTGTTTCTGAGAAAGCAGAATTCAATACCACGTTTAGCGGGGTAGTGCTGATGAGTTAAGTATAGCAATAGCATGTCCTTACTGCTGGCTGATACATGACTTCCTTGGATTTCTTGTCAGTTGCAAGATTTGGGTCTCTGTTAACTGCTCTCTTGTCTGTTTGCATGTCTGGATTTTGAAAGCACAAGTACCAGTATTCACAGCAGTTTCTGAATGCCTTTCTCAAAGCATTGGGATATTGTTGGCAATTTGTTGACCCAGGGAATCCAAGTCTGAAAAGTTAATTGTATCCTTAAACTTGGTTGACTGAAGGGGCGCCTGGGTGGCTTAGTCGGTTAAGCGTCCGACTTTCGCTCAGGTCATGATCTCGCGGTTCGTGGGTTCGAGCCCCGCGTCGGGCTCTGTGCTGACTGCCAGCTCAGAGCCTGGAGCCTGTTTCAGTCTGTGACTCCCTCTCTCTCTGACCCTCCCCTGCTCAAACTGTCTCTCTCTCTCTCCTAGAAATAAATAAAACATTAAAAAAAAAAAAAAAAAAAACAACTTGGTTGACTGAAATAGATGGAATGAAATGGACTTTTGAGATTGGTCTGTGTCTCCAGAAAATTTGTCCTTTACTCCAGTGGAGATGGAGAAAGAATGGGGTAGCACTTTAAGGTCTGACCTTTTATGAGCATTTAGACTCACTGAATTATTGGACCAGAAGATTCCAAAAAATAGATTAGTTCAGTACTAGGTTACCATAGGTGGAGGGACTGAGTCCGTGCAGGCAGATACTGGTTATTTCCTTGTCTGCTCCTTGTTCCACTGCAGCAACAGCTTGTCTCTGTCACCTAAGTCCAAAGCCCCTGTATCTTCTGACATGTGAAATCCAGTCCAGATGACTTAGTACTTGGGCCAGAGGGTCAGTCAGACAAGCACTAGCTTATGGCAAAAAGCCCTACTGGTATTTATAGGGAGAATAAGAGTTAAACTAAAATCCCAACTCAATCAGTGGCTTCTTCAAGTTGCTTTTCAAAGTTCAGTCAGTTTCTTTCTCAGAGAATACTGTAAAGGCCTATTTCTAGAAAAAGAGATGTTATAGTTAAGTTCTGTCCTTTTTGATGACTCTTTCTTCTCCCCAGTTCTCCCTCTTCACAGCTGTCCATAAACACTACAGCCTCGAGCAGTGGAAAGAATTTGCTAGCCAGAATCCTGACTGTCTTGAGGTAACACCAGTCTTTTCCTGGTTCCTTCTTTATCCCAGTTTTCCAGGAATTTTTCTTTTAATTTATTTATTTGAGAGAGCACATACATGCACACGAGTGGGGGAGGGGCACAAACAGAATTTCAAGCAGGCCATGCTGTCAGTGCAGGGCCCAGTGTGGGGCTCAGTCTCACGAACTGTGAGATCCTGACCCGAGCCAAACTCAAGAGTTGGACGTTTAACCGACTAAGCCACCCAGGCGCCCCTCTACGAATCTTTTTGGCTTCCCGAGGACTAACCCTTACCTTCCCAGCCCTGTTGGTTCCTCACTGGGTCATTTGTGATCTGCCACAGACTGTCTCATGCCTCTCAATGGCTCTGTTTCTTTCACAGCATTTGGCTGCCAGCTCAGGCATGGGCTCTTCTGATTTTGAGCAACTGGAACAGATACTGGAAGCTATTCCGCAAGTGAAATATATATGCCTGGACGTGGCAAATGGCTACTCTGAGCACTTTGTTGAGTTTGTAAAGGACGTGCGGAAGCGTTTCCCCAAACACACCATCATGGTATGTTCCTCTTCCTCCCAGTCTTTCCTGACACTCCATTTTGTTACATCAGTTCATTTCTCCTCTACTGCATTTTGATTTTCCTAGGTTACTTAATCTTGGCGCTGGGTGCTAATGCACGGTCCCACACTTAAAATGTTTAGCTTGGTTAGCGCAGTGATCTCTGTCCCTTTTCACATGCCTTGTACCCACCCATGGTGTCCATTGAAATGGACATGTACTAGAATCATATTAAAGGAGTCGCATGAAATAAGTTTTATTTTTTTTTTTTTACAAGCTTTGGGGAGTGATGACAAGGCCTCATTTTCTCCATATCATCAAGGAGTCTCTGTACTGTCCTTCAAAAATAAATAGAGCTGTGCAAATGGGTATTCAGCTTTCATTACCACGTTTTCCCCTTTCCCTGAAGCCAGAGGTTTTATGATGTAACAGCTTAAGAGCAGGATATGTTTGCGTCTCTTGGCAGAGACGGGGAGATAAATCTACTATGGATCAGCTTTGGCCTTGGTCCAGTTGTACCCCAACTTTACCCTCATGCGACAGTTGACACTGGCCACTCACCCCCTTACCTCAGCTTGGGAAGCAGAGCTCTTTCCCAGTAGAGGGAACCTAGGTACCTTCTCTGTAGTAATGTTGGTCATGGTCCAGGCACACTGTATTCTCAGCGTGAGGCACGCAGCCTCCTCTCTCGTTTCCAACCCCGAGAGTGCTCTGTTTTGATTGCTCTGTCTCAGGCAGGGAATGTGGTAACAGGAGAGATGGTAGAAGAGCTGATCCTCTCTGGGGCTGACATCATCAAAGTGGGAATAGGACCAGGTAAGCTAGTTCACGGTGGGCCACTGGCTGCCCCTCTGGTGGGCACTTCACTGTTCTCATGTTCTTCTCAGGTTCCGTGTGCACCACTCGGAAGAAAACTGGAGTGGGGTATCCACAGCTCAGTGCGGTGATGGAGTGTGCAGATGCTGCTCATGGCCTCAAAGGCCACATCATTTCAGTAAGGCCAGGGGCAGGGGAGGGAATGAGGCTGCCAGAGATCTTGAGTGTTCTGCTGGGTGTGGAAGCTGTGGTAGCAGTGGATCAGGACTCCTGGGTTCCTGTCACCTTTGAGGTGGGCCAGGGGACATCGCTCCTGGTGCTCCTAGAAAACCACGTTATCTCTTCATAGCATTCTTCACTTTGCAGGATGGAGGCTGCAGCTGTCCTGGGGATGTGGCCAAGGCTTTCGGTAAGCGTGCTGGGAGAGTGTGGACGGAGGGTCCTGTAGAAGACGATAAGTCACCTCTGAGGGTCAAGGATCAGGCTTGAAAAGGCTGAGAGAGCCATTCAGATTCTTTGACAATATGAACTAGTGACCCTGAAGCCTGTGGTGTCACCTGGGGCAAGCCAGCAGGGAAGCCCTGAGACTGATACAGACCACCCAGTAGGCCAGGTCCATCTGTAGCATCCCTCAGACTGTTGGGACTAAAGTTATAGACCTTTGCCCTTGGGACCTTGGGACACTTGGAGTGAGTCTTGTTTAACTGCACACAGTAAAAAGAAATGACCAGAAGATGGTAAAAGCAGCAAAAAAAAAAAAGCCAGGCAAGGGATTTACAGAGGCTCTTTTTAAATTCTTGGGAAAATCAGGCTCACTGAAGAGTAAAGGCCAGTGCAGAGCAGGCCTGTGTGGGTTGTGGGTCAGCTAGGGAAACAAAACCAGGAAGATGTTAGAATCATTGTCAGGACTGAGAATTTCGCATGAGTTGCTTCTGAGGGCGGGCATGTGGGCACCTGGGCCAGATGCAATTCTCTTTGCCCCTTGTTGGTGCTGACAGGGGCAGGAGCTGACTTTGTGATGCTGGGTGGCATGCTGGCTGGACACAGTGAGTCAGGTGGTGAGCTCATCGAGAAAGACGGCAAGAAGTACAAGCTCTTCTATGGGATGAGTTCTGAAATGGCCATGAAGAAGTATGCTGGGGGCGTGGCTGAATACAGGTGTGTGGAGGGTTCCTGGAAAGTGTGACTAAGCAGGGTGGTGACAGAGCTCCTGGCTGCTGGGAGATGCGTGGGACAGTTATTGGGAGGAAAAGTGGTGAACTGGCGCTAAATACTAGAGGCTGGGGAAGAGCTGCTGGGCTTAAGAAATCCAAAAAGAAAAGGCTACAAAGTTTTTCCTCCTCTAAGGGCCTCAGAGGGCAAGATGGTGGAGGTGCCCTTTAAAGGGGACGTGGACCATACCATCCGAGACATCCTTGGAGGCATCCGTTCCACATGTACCTATGTGGGAGCAGCTAAACTGAAGGAGTTGAGCCGGAGAACCACCTTCATCCGAGTCACCCAGCAGGTGAATCCAATCTTCAGTGATGACAGCTAGACCTGAGCACAAGCACCCTAGCCCAGGGCCTCCCGATGGGCTCCTCACGCATGTCAGCTACTGTGGCTGTTTATCACTCGGTTATTTCCTGCCGCCTCACTCCTGAGGGCTTCTGCAATAATTCTGTACTCTGTACACACAAAATGCCCAGGGTATTCACTGGAGAGGAAGCAAGGAAGGCAAGCGGAGGGAATGAAGTAAGATCCTCAAATGCAAACCTGGGGACCCAGCATCTGGAAGATTATTGAAAGGAAAAGATAATGGTTCCTACCTAAGTGTTTAATGTGGCCTTGGTCTGGACGAGTTAGTCTCCTGAAATCATGTTTTGTTAGTGAGCTTCATTATATAGTATCTTCGAACACCTAAAAAGCTCAGAAATGTTGATATATTTTAAGTATCTCAATAAAGATATCCCAGTGACTTTAAAGAGATTCTGGATCTTTCTGCACAAGGCTGGCATCTGGGTGCTGCTCCGGGGCAAGTGGAAGTGGAGTTGGCACTGACCCAGTAGAGTCAAGGACAGGGAGTATTTTCCCATGAAATATCTCCATTTCAGTGCCACCACCCCCAGGTAACCTGGCAGCATGAGTATTTACAAAGCACATTCTGGTATCAGAGCACATAGATATTTTTAGAACAGCAAAGGGAAATTTCTCTTCCAGGCTATCGACCATTTTTGGCACATCTGCACAACATTTTCCAGGGAAAGTAGAAAAGCAAAGGGATTCCTCCAGCCCTGGAGAAGCCAGTTCTAAGGAATGACGACCTATACTGACTTTATGGAAGCCTTAATTCCCCTCCCTCACACCAAGACAGTGTTTTAATGAATCCAAATTTTAATTAACAAGTATTACAAAGTAATTTTAGCAAGGCAGTCAGGTAACCCAAGCCTGGCCTTCCACTTTATTTCCACTAAACTGTATGTAGGGCTAAGGGAGATAGGCGGAGTACAGAGGGAATTCCAGTCCTATCATAAGTGTCTAGACCTGTCTATATGGTCATGGAAGGGACAGACACAGCACTGAGGCCAGAAGTAGGGAGGTATTCATAGAAGGTAGGGATCAAGGTGCCAAACTTTGTCTTCTGATAGTTTTCCAGAGACTCCTGCAGAGAAGGGAGCAGGGAAATCCTATCATCAGCTTCATTCCCCGAGCCCTCCTATTCTGGAGCATGTGGGTTTCTCTGTCTTGTTCTGTTCATCCCCTTCCCCAGCTTTCTGTTCCTTCCTACTCACCCTTCCTTCCCTCTGGCCATTTTCTTCTTCATCAGAGTCCAGAACCAAGTCCCCTATGGTAATGACAGAGCTGCACAGAGATGGAGGACACACTGCAGGAAGGAAACCACAGTCAAAGCACCCTTCTAGGTGAACAGGCCCTCAAGAGTCCCCAGGAGAGGAGGCGGGCTGACCCAGTCCTGACCCAGGATACTTACCTGGCTTCCTAGCTTTAGGAGGTGATAATGACAGTCTCAGGGGGTCCATGGGGCAAACCAAGCAATTCCTGAAGTAGGGGCAAGCAAAGAAGATAAGGTAAAGGGAAAACAGGCATAGAATGGGCTGCTTGCAAGGAGAAGAAACTGTTCCACTCACTCTTCTTGCTCTGAAGCAAATAAGTCAACTGGGGTCTCCTTCAGAGCCCTTCCCCCCAGGCTCTGGGATGGACTCTTAGACTTTGCAGTGGAAGCTGCTCTCGTGCCCACAGCACCTGCTGGATCTGCCATGTGCGTTTCATGTTCTTCCCTGCTCTCGGGCTCTGATACGATCTGGCTTGGTGAACCCAGGCTTCTAAAGGGGAACAGCATGACTGTAGGGCGCTCCTTGTGGCCTGCCTTAGTGGATGCCCATTGGGACTGGATTCTTCGCCGGCCTAGAGGGGCCAGGTTGAAGTGGTGGCCAGCCAAAGGTTCTGGGTGCTTCCTTGAGGCTGGTCCCCGAGAAGGGTATGAGCTAGGCCTAGCTTTTGGCAATGCATCATGAAGTGCTAGCTTTGGTTGCTGAGGAGGGCCCTGCTCCACGGGCTCTGTCATGCTCTCTGAATCGGTAACCAAGCGCTCTGAAAAAGAAAATGAAGCTCCTTACAAAGAGAAGCGATAGTAACACAACTCCGTCTGGTTTTTTATGCCTCAGGCCCATGTAACACTTCCAGTAGCCCATCTCAGAAGGTCTCAGGCCAAACAGTCCACCCCAAGTTCCTAATTCTCCCAGATGGTCCTAGTACCTGGAAGTGGCCACCCCATGTCCACACCATATTGGCTCAAGGCAAAAGAAGAAGTGATAGAAACTCCAGGCTGCATCCAGCTCAGCACATCCTGAAGCTGTGGGCAGAGCATGAGAGGCATGAAGACCACAGTCCTTGATAATGACCATCCCACACTCCGCCCTTACTTTGCCCCCAACAAAACCTGCTGTGCCTGCGGTGCGGGCAGTGCCTTTTCCAGCTGACACAAGTATTCAAAAAACAGCTTTTCCATGGCAACCAAAAAGGGTTCTCCATACTCTTGTTCAAGTTCCTGGAGTGAGGAGAGAAGCAGGTCAGAAGAGGACTAGGGCAAGTTAGCCACATAATAGCTTCCAAACCAGCCAGTCTCACCTGCAGCTTGGAAGCCAAGTCCACAGGGGTCTCTGCTAGTTGCTTCACCTGTTGGCAAAAGGTTTTCTGTGCCTCCGAGATCTTCCTCAGATCCTGCTTTGTCTGTTGAGGGTAAGGAAAAGCAGAAAATTTAGTCCCCAGGATCCAGTGGCCAGGGGAAGCAATTTTGTGGCACCCAGTGTTAACTGGGGATAGGACTTGTTCCAGGGATTACTCACAGCTTTCGGGTCCCGCACTACAGGTCCAGACTCTGGGAAGTGATGATGTAGGGCGTTCAGAACTTGGGCCCACGGCTGGCCCTGCAGGATCAGCTCCACCACTACCTGTGAAGCGAACTAGACTCAGAATCTCCACTTCGGGGCAAGCTGCCCTTTTCCAACCAGTCCCAACCCCAAGCAGTCGGCCCTTGGCCGGTCCCATCGCATCCCGCCCCTTTCCCGTCTTCCAGCTGCTAATGGCTCCAATACCTTGGCCTTCAGACCCATACAGAGGCGTTCATGGTGGCGGTAGCGAACCAAGCCAGGGGCAGCAGCGCGCAGTGATCGCAGAAACTCTAATACTCGGGGGAAATGCTCCACGCAGCGTCCCCGCATCACTCGCCAGGTGGCCGCGGCAGCGAAGCGCAGAGCTGCGGGACCGGCCCCTGGGGGCGTGGCCATGGTCGGCGGGCTCCGCCCCGGGGGCAGGCCCTCTGGGTTCCTTCCTCCAAGGCGAGCCTTCACTCTAGAGGCGAAGCTTCCGGTGCCTCTCAGTGGCTGGGCTATTTGGATCTCTGCCTGGTACTTCACGGTCTGATCCCTTCCATAGGCCACCAGAATCCTGGAGGTCTTCAACTCGGGACGGAGCCTGAATGGAGAAGCTGGCCAGCTACAATGGCACCAGGTTCGCTGTTTTCCACACCGCCGCCCCCTGGAGACGACGGCTACTTCGCTTCCGGCTCTGCGGCCGGTCTCCCTGCCCCGGAAAAGGGCGGTAATGGAGAACCAATGGCCCGTCAGGCAGGGAGACCCGACGTTGCGTCACGAGGCCACGCCCCAACAGATAGGGCGCCCCTTCCGTTACCTCCGCGCGGTGCGACTGCTCATCGAGGCCCTTCGGGCCCTTGCTTCTTCGCGGCGCCTACAAAGTCATGTCCTTCTCTAAGGTTTGGCTTTGTTGTCCCGGAACGATGATCATGACTTGCCCTTCACCGTCTTCTTCGCTACTGAATTACGATTCCTTAAATCCTGGCCTCAAAGCAAAGCCTGCAAAGCCTTCCCTTGTGGCGGGAGGCAAGATTTCGATTGTTCCATTTACAAAACAGGAGAGGGCGCCTGTCTTTAAAAAATAAAGTTTGAAAAGATACATCAGGTTGTTAATTAACTTGGTTTCCTCTGGATGGTCAGACGTCGGTAATTGTGCTTTTCTGTGTTTGATATCTTTTTTTTTTGTATCCTGTAATTTTCAAATAAGTGAAAAATTAATTTCCTTTTTCGGATTTCCGTTATTGGCTTACTCCAGTCAGCCCAGCCCCTCAATGTGATTAACTTGTCCATCTCCTTGCCATTTTAACTGGTGCCTCTCCATTATTTTCATCACCAAGTACAAGAACCTGGCACACAAGGGTATATTCTTTAAATGATCGTTGAAAGAGATGCGGCTGGGTGGCTCAGTTGGTTAAGCAACTGACTTTGGCTCAGGTCATAATCTCATGGTCTGTGAGTTCCAGCCCCATATTGGAGTCTGTTAGCAGACTCTGACAGCACAGAGCCTGCTTGGGATCTTCTGTCCGCCCCCGTGTCCTTCCCCTCACTCACACACTCAGTCTCAAAAATTAAATAAGCATTAGAATTTTTTCTTTGAAAAAAAAAAAAAAAAGTTAGCTGAATGAATTACCTTCCCTGACTACATTGCAGGGATTTAGTGGAACTACCCTTGCTTGAACCATCTCCCTTCTTAGAGGTAGTGCCTGCAGGATCCCTCCTTGAGTCACCTAAGGTCATTCTGCTGAGGTGATTCACAGCGACTTCTGGATAGAACACTGAAAGTTATCTTCCCTTTTAAATTCTGCTCTTCCTCCTGGGCTCTATATTTCTGTGCAGGGCACCTCTCCTCACCTGTGGGTTAGAAACCAAGCCCATAGCCCTTAACTCAGTCCTCCCTCCTCTCCAAATGTAATCCATCATCAAGTCTAATCAGTTCTACTTCTTATGGAAACTTCCAACCCAGCCCCATTTTCATTTTCACTGCCTCTTTCCTATTTCAAGTTTTCCTGTCTCTCACCAACCTCCCATCTTCATCCCAACTCCTTTCTAATTTCTTTTCCACGTTGCTTTCATCATGAATCTTGTGAAATGCAAAACTGAGCATATCATTCCTAATTGAAAGTTCTCTCTTACTTTCAAAAGAAAGCCCAATTCCAAAATATGGCAAAAGCAGTTTTAATGATCTAGCCAAACTTCTCTTCATCCATACTCCTTGCCACTTTGCACTTATGCACCTTTATGCCAGACTTCATCAAACTTTTCATTTTCCAAGTATAGTGTGTCGTCTTACATTTCTGTGCCTGGCACGTACTGGAGGATTCCTCTGTCCTCCATGCCTCTTGGACTTGAGTTGTTCTCATCTTTTGTGGTTCCTCCACCTCCATGAAGTCCATCAGAGTTCTCTTCTTGGGGTCCTCAATACATCTTTTTATCACCACCCTTGTCATGCAGAACCTATCTTGGAAGGTCATTGTAAGGATTAAATAAATTAGTAAATATAAAGCACTTGAAATAGTGCCTGGCTCATAGTAAGTTCTACATACGCATTGTATTCTGAATATTTACATGTCCGTCACCCCTACTGGGTGGGAGCCTCTTGACAGAAGACCTTGTTTCTTTCTTGTACATACAGAACCTTTGTTTGTGTGTTTACATCTAATACAAACAGCTCCTTTTTAGCCGCCTTTTTTACTGCGTTAGAAGCCCCTTGTCTTGCAAGCCTTCTTAAATTCGAAGGTTCAAGAAGACAAGTGGTCAGAACTCAGAACTTCGGGCAAGTAGTCTCTTGGCTACTGTTGGCCCCAGAAGGGTGTTGGCAGCGAGGACAGTACAGCTGAGAAGAAAAATAGAAGGTGATTGTTCTCAGTCCTTACCGTGCACAGGGGTCAACCTCTTAGTGAGCTTGTTAAAATGCAGACTTCTTGGCCTCTGCTCCAGGGATCCGCGTTCATGAGGTTTATGCTGGCACCCAGAAATCTGAATTCTTAATTAACATCTCAGTTGATTCTAATGTAAGTGGTCTACAGACCGTGCTCAAAGAACCCCTGGGGTAAGGGAACAGCTTCATTTAAACCAAAACCAAATCCTCCAAGTCACCTGAAGGAAAATTTCCGGGTAGAAGAGATCTATACAAAGGGGATTGACTCTCTGTCTCTGAGCCTCAACTTCTCCTGCAGTTTCTTCTCTCTGGTGACAAACACCTGTCCCTGTATCAGTGGATGGCATGCAACTGGTCCTCTTCCACAAACCTGAAACCCAGGGGTTTTCTTAGCACTGTCCCTCTCCACCCTCCACCCAGCCGCATCCCATCCTTCCCCAAGTCCGGTAAATTCTATCTCCTAGGCACGCCTCCAAGCTTTTGCCACTCTGTCTCCAGCACCACCACTCTGGTCCAAACTACCATCTCTAGCATAAAGTTGCCTTCCGGGGTGTCTCTGCTTCCACTCCAGCCCTGCTCCAAGCTATTCTTGACACTACAGGCAGAATAATCTGTTCAAAACACAATCTGGTCATGTCATCTCCAAGTGCTTAAAGTTTTCAAAGGCTTCCCACTACTCTAGGGCAGACAAAGATCTGAATCTGGCCTATGAGGCACCTTGTGTGGCCCTGTGCCCTCAACTCCTCAACTCCACCTCCTCCACTCTGCCCTTTGCTCCTCTGCCTTAGCCATATTCTCTTTGTTTGAGTCTTGCTTACTCTTCCAGACTCCCTTCTACCACAGGATCTTTGCACAGGCTATTCCTTTTGTCTGCAATGATCACCCTTCCCTCTCTGCCTAAATATGCTCACCTATTTAGGGAAAACTTTCCTAATCACCACAACCAGGCTAAACCACATGCCTTTACTATAAACTTCAGAGCTATTTACTTTGTCTCATGCGGTTATTCAATTAATATGTTTCTTTCTCAGACTATAAGCTCCATAGGGCCAGAACTAGGGTTGTCCTGTGTGCCAGCACAGTTCATTGCTTGGCACACATCATTAAATATTTGTTAAATAGGTGAAAGAATGGGTCCATTAGTCACCACCATGGCTGGACCCTCTCAGTCAATGCCTCCTGTAAAATTGTGGTCCAACTGTGGACAAAACTTCCCTTCCAGGGTAGACCTTAGAATAGCTGAAGGTAGCCATTATTTAAAAAATTAACATTATTTAAAATAAAGTACAGCCCCCACCCCCACGCCCTGCCCCCAGGTGGCTGAGTTAGTTAAGCGTCTGACTCTGGGTTTGGGCTCAGGTCATAATCTCACAGTTTGTGAGTTCAAGCCCTGAGTCGGGCTCGGAACTGACAGCCACAGAGCCTGCTTGAGATTCTCTGTCTCCATCTCTATGCCCCTCCTCTGCTTGCTATCTCTCTCTCTCTCTCAAAATAAATAAACATTAAAATAAAATAATAAAATAAAATAAAGTGCGGGGGCACCTAGGTGGCTCAGACAGTTAAAACCTCCAACTCTGGGGGCACCTGGGTGGCTTAGTCGGTTAAGCGTCTGACTTTCACTTAGGTCATGATCTCGCGGTTCGTGGGTTCGAGCCCCACGTCGGGCTCTGTGCTGACTGCCAGCTCAGAGCCTGGAGCCTATTTCAGTCTGTGACTCCCTCTCTCTCTGACCCTCCCCTGTTCACGCTGTCTCTCTCTCTCTCCTAGAAATAAATAAAACATTAAAAAAAATTTTTTTTAAAACAAAACAAAACCCTCCAACTCTGATTTCAGCTCCGGTCATGATCTCATGGTTTGTGAGTTCAAACCCAGTGTCAGGCTTGTGCTTGACAGCAGGGAACCTGCTTGGGATTCTCTCTCTCCCTCCCTCCCTCCCTCCCTTCCTCTCTCTCTCTCTCTCTCTTCAAATAAATAAGTAAGCTTTAACAAAAAAGAAAGAAAAAGGAAGGAAGGAATGGAGGGAGGGAGGGAGGGAGGAAAGAAGGAAGGAAGGAATAGAGGAAGAGCAACCACTATAGTCTTATCCATAAATCTGGGAAACATTTATAAGTCATATCTTATAAATTTTTGCTTTTGTATTTGCAATTAGCTCTACTTAGCTTATTATCCAGAAAATAAAATCCTTTTGCTGTTTTTACTTCTTCCAGAATTTTCCAAGCACTCCGTTCATAAGGGCCAGCCTTCCATCTTCTATGCTTATTTGGGGAGAGCCCTGCTGTCCACAGGATCTGCCGTATTTCTTCTACCTCCTCAATGTCCTCTTACAAAATCAAGCACAGTGGTTGGTACGTGCTCTCTCAGGCTTTAACAACTAGGTTCGGACTTTGCTCCCTGGGCCAGGGGGCTGCAGGGGCTTCTAGCATTAGCCATCAGCTTTGCCAAATCAAACCCACTCAGCTGGGGTTCAGGGACCCTCATATCAAGCCTGGTTCTCCAAGCCTAGGATGGTCCCCTTCCCTGCTGTTAGGCCTTAGTGGAGGCTACCACAGTCCACATTAACATTGCCAGCTGTAAATCTTAGGGCAGAAGGAATTAAAGGGAACACTGGTTCTTTACACTGGGGCTACTGATGCAAAGAATCCACCTCCTCCCTAGCGAACAACTTTGTATAGCGGGTGTCCCAGGAGAATCAAAACGGGTCACGACGACTCCGAGACAATGACCTGCTTTTTTAGTGCAGGGGCACGGGCTGAGAGGGCAACTCTAGTGGATTTCTTAAAACCAAGACTCAGAACACCTTCTTGTTATTTAAAAACAAAACAAAACACTCT